TGTTTGCCTTTACATTGGACTTCCCGTTGATTAGCACCTCAATTGGACGTTGCTCCAGGGCGACTACTTCTTGGTTCAGCTTGTTTTGAAAATTTTGCAGTAACGTTGGCAATCCGGAGGAAATGATTTGGTTTACACAATGTACAGTAGTATTGAGTTCGCTATCTGACAAGCACTCTTCAGGACTACGTTGTTGTTTTTGTCCAGGTAAAAACATGCACCTAAACAAATCGAGTTGTTTTGCGCTGGAAAACAGCTCGTAAATGCACCACTAAAAATTAATTGAATTACTGCTTAAAAGTTAAAAAAAAGTAATTTACGTGAAAATAATAGTTGAAACATAAAGGATCAAGAGCAGCTGTTTGACACCTAGCTAATTCGTTTGGGTTAGGAAGTATATCGATTGTGGAAGTTGTGTCAAGCAATGCTTGCAACTCGCTCAAATCAATTATTGTTTCTAACATGTAAAAAAATTGAACTGAAGGTTCTTTGTACTGAATGGTCGATGCACAGCTCCAAATGTTGGTTGCCTGAATTCCAAGATTTGAAAAAACTCATTTAAAATAAAAAACAAGAATTATTTTTAATCTTACATTGATTCTACACAGGGCCTTCTCCAGATCAACAGCTGCCAAACGCGAGTACTGCGCGTTAAGAATGACTCCGAGTGACTGTTCGGTAACTGGTAGTGGCCGAAGGTCTTGCGTGACTCTGACATCAGTTGCAAAGGAAACAAATGTATCTGGATGGACGGCACAAGCTTTGACAACTTCCCAGAAGGTCTCACTCTGACATTGCTCACTGGCAGCCAGCAAGTCTACGGGAAAGTGCTCCGACTGGAAGTAGCACTGCAGAAAAGTCACAAACTGTGTCATGTTGATTGAAGCTTCCTCAGAGCAGTACTACCGGATAAAATGAAACAGTCAAATAAAATATGTAGTGTTTGATGCAAAATAAATTACGTGAATCAAACTAATCTCGCAAATTGTTTCAGCACCGTGACAGTAGAAGGTTCCATTTTCATCGGAAATTATTTGCACATCACCATATGGCCACAAAAAAAGTTTTAAATCAACGTTTTCATTTAGATACTGTGGTACCAGCTGTGAAGTAATGTAATCACCATCTATGTTACTGAGTGGTGAGTAGTAGATTTCTAAAATGCTGGGACCATCAACAGATTGACTGTCACAACACAACAGAAACAAGAGGCTCAAAACAAGTCCTAGACTTTTGTTGACTTGTTGAACAGGCATAGTGTTCAACTTTTAAATGGGAGTCAATGATTGTGGAAAACAACATTCGTGCTTTGCAAGTTCTGGATGCAAAATGAGGCTTTTGAGCAGACTAAAAATATATAAACTCATTTTATTTAAAAAAAGTTGAATGCTTATTGGATTAAAAAATACACTAACAATTGCAACAACAGTCATCATAATAATATGTTCATATGATAAAATTATGTTTTGACGAGTTCAGATTACAATTGAAAAAGCAGTTTATTGCTTTTCACAATAATTTACGGTAGTGATAAACTGCATTGTGAAAACCTTGGTTAGTTTGATTGGATCAAGTAAAAGTCAACTAGGTAATCTAGGTTAAGCACACTTTGTTGCTCTACATGCTTGCAAGCAAATTATTTTTATGTTTCAACGATAAACCCAGATCAAGTAAAACCTTGTACTTTGTTTTAGTGTAAAATAAAAAAAACCTATAGCCAATTTTTGCACTGACTATTTGTAAAAACTTGTCAACGATTGTTTTCATTTTTCAAAGATTTGTGTTTTTATTTGTAAGTAATTGAGTTTGTAATAGTACACAAAAAATCGATGACTCAATATTAATATAAACATGTTATAGAGATTTGTGTAAGAATGTTGATGATGATGATGATGATGATGACAGTGAGTTGCAATAAAGGATGATGTGATGAAGTGATGATTACAGTCAACAAATGGCATCTTCATTGACTATCCATTCTCTCTTTAGGAGCACCACAAGAATTTGCTGACAAATGGTAGTGATAGAAAAATAGACGATGGGGCCGAATGGAGTCATGTATACGCGTCCGATTTTGAGTTTGTCCGCAAATCAGTCAATTCAATGTGAAACGAGGTAACAACATAAAATCTATTTTTTTGAAGTGGCTCAATCACTATTCACGTAAGTTGTTTCATTACCTCATTTGAAGCCAGAGCAAAAACTGCAGTGGCCTATCTTGCTGCTTGTACATTTTAAGGTTAACAATAAATAAAAATAAATAAAGGTAAAAACTGGGATGATTTTGAGTTATCTACAGGCGTTTTGTGCGTTTTGTCCGCTTGCATTTTCAATATGTCTCAATATCTCAAAACACCGACATTTTTGTTGTACTGTTCGGGGCGGTTGTCAACAACATAAAATTCACCACAAAACCCAATGTTTTGCTGGTGTTTGCTGGGGTAGTAGGCACACGGGTGGAGCAATCAAAACACGGAGCACTGCCATTAACCATTTCGGCCTGACGGAGGATAGTTTAGTGAGCGGAGTTTGCAGGATGTGGTGATAATGTGGTGATGGGCTTTACAAAGGTGATACAAAGTTTAGTTCCAGAGAGAATAAAGAGATATTAGCTTCTTGAATGTGTGTTTGTGAGAAAGGTTATGCTGACTACAGAAAGGAGAAAACAGAGATATAGGGTTCGGTTGTGTTATAAAAATATTGCAGTTGAGATTTTTGTGGCGACTAAAATCAGAAAAATTAGAATGATAAGTAGTATTTTGTTTTTACAAAAATAAAACAAAAATAAATATTGAAGAAAAAGATGTGTGTGAGTGTGGTGATTTTCTATTGTTGAAATCTAATTTGAAGTTTGTTTTTTTGTGGTGAATTATCAAGAAAAGAAATAAAAACAATTAAACAGAAAAATAGATTTTCTGTATACAGAAATAAAGGTTTTTTGCGCGTGGTAAAAGTGGTGCGTTCATGTAGGGATAAAAGCAGAAATTAACATAAAAGGGAAAAATGCTTGCATTTTGCAAAGATGGATACGACTTGAGATCAAGTTGGGTGTTTAAGAAATAAAATTTAGGCTACTTATTAATGGTGCTATTATAGCAAAGACTGGTGTTGTTGGTGAATGATGAGGGTGATAATGATGATGCGGTAAGGTTGGTCAGTGTTGGGCGTAAGGTAGTAGTTTAACAGGCTGTGGTGGTCGTCACTTTGTTTCTATTGTAATATTTCACACTTCTCATAGTTTGAAATTTTACTGAAATCATGTTTCAATGTGATGATAAAGAGTAAAAGTAGTAAAAAGTGTTCCGAAAAAAGGGGATGCAAAAAAGGTAATATGCTGTAGGTGGTGAAGGAGTTGGCGAGTTAGCCGTTTGTGGCCGCTTGTAGAGGGCGTCGGTCAACAGCTGAGCGTGCTGAGGTAAAGCCGTATAGAAAGAAAAAGTGTAGAGAAAGAAAGAGAAAGAAAGAAAAAGTTTCATCAGCAGGAGGTCTTGGTGGTCTTGGTAGTGGTTGCTTTGATTTGAGTGACTCAAAAGAAAACTTAGATTGGTAGCAGAGAGGGCGGAAGTTTTGGGTGAGAGAAAGAGAGACAGTGAGTTGTTGTTGGGCATTGTTGACAGTGATTTGGTTTAAAGTGAGTTGTTTGTCTGGCCAGGCAGCCTCAAACTTGTAAAGGGATCGGATTGACGACAAACTGACCAAGCAAACTGACACCAGTGGCTGTGACTTTGTGGGCACCAGTTTAGGAGAAAGCTTAATGTCTAAGTGTGCGCACAGGCATCTCTGCCTTGTACCACAAACTAATAAAAAAAATGGTTTCACACCTGAGTTTGTGTTACAAAAGCATCTAGCCGTACACAACTACTACTTTTTCTTATCTATAGCCAAACTGTAAAAAGGAATTTTCGTTGACGGGGATCATGTTTTTGAATGGGCTTGGGAATAACAACCAAGAAATAAAAAAGAAAAAACTAAAAATAATAAAAATGTATCCATTTATGCAATTTGATTGAGGGGAAAGGAGAGCTTTTAAAGGGAAAAGTATGTGGGTGTGTGAGTGATGAAAGAAGTATAATATATAATATAAAAATCAAAATTAAATTAAAAGACAAAAAATAATAGTAGAGCAAAATAGAAAAAATGAAGGAAGGAGATGTGAGTTCAGCGATTGAAAGTGTGAATGATGATGCTGATGATGGTGATGATGGTGACGAGGGTGAACAACGAAATAAAATAGAATTATTTGACAGAAAGGTGATGATAGAGAGAGATGGGGGATGACAGTGTGGATGTTGAGTCTGTGTGTGTTTAGCGCCATTTGAGTTCAAATGAATAGACCAAGTGTGTAGGTGTCCTGTGTGTGAATTTGTGTTTTTGTAGTATTTATAATATATCTTTGTAGAGCTTAACCAACGAAAAACAGGCACAACATGACATAACAAAAGAGAAAGGTTGATGACGCCAATGAACGAGTAAGCAAAGAAGGTCCCAAAAGAAGAAGAAAAAGAAAAGAAGAAAGAAACAAAAAAGGTGTTGTTTGAACTGTGGTGTTTGCTGCTTTTTAGGTTATTCTGATCTGATGATGGAAGTATTTCCGGTGTGTATCTGTGTTTGTTTGAAAGAGGAGCTTTTGAAAAAAAGTGAGAGGGAGTTGCTGAAGTAGTCGCCGTAGAAAAAGTGAAAAGAAATGATGAGATAAGAAGAAGAAGTGATGGAGAGAATGCAAGTGATGAGGAGTGATGAGAAGGAGGATGCCACGAGGTGACGATCGGTTTTTGCGTGCTTTTGTTTGTATGTGAAGAGAGTGAGAGAAGGTGAGAGAGATGCGGTAGAAATTGAAGAAAGTCCAACTATGCGTCCTGAATGTCCCAGATCTCGGCCAGGAAGGGTGGCANAAGGATGATGTACCACGAGGTGACGATCGGTTTTTGCGTGCTTTAGTTTGTATGTAAAGAGAGTGAGAGATGGTGAGAGAGATGCGGTAGAAATTGAAGAAAGTCCAACTATGCGTCCTGAATGTCCCAGATCTCGGCCAGGAAGGGTGGCAACTTTTTGTTTTGTACTTTGAGGGAGACGCACATCTCCGAGTTGATGTTGCCCAGCGTGCGCAGCTCAGTGAGAATGCCCAGCAACTTCGCAAAGTGGCACTTGTTTGGTGGGCGGTGGCTGTCTACGTAACACCGTAGCGTCTCAATGTAGTGCTCCTGAATGTCTTCCACTTTTCGGGGCTCACAGAGGGCTGGTCGGTCTGAGATGGGGAAATAGAAAATGTAATTTGTTAGTGCTCTGGGTGGTAATTGCTGCTGATGATACTTACCACTGAAAATGACGATTGCGGTGAGAAGTGCGTACTCGGCATTGTCCACCTTCAGCATGCACATCCGCCGACAGAAGTTGAACAGAGAGTCGGCCACGTAGGAGATACTGGCGCTGCTGTAGTTGTCTCGGGTGTACGGCTGATTGTTCGCGTAGACGATCGAGTCAGTGCGAATGTCGTATTTGCGGGAACAACGCAACATCATCACCTCACTTGAGCACGCCTGCAGGCAACAAAAGGTAAAGGATTAGTTTAAAGAACACTTAATTTAATTTTGGCAGACGAACCTTGAGCAGGGTAATTTGGTCTTCCCTGAATAGGCGGTCAAAGAAGGGCACTCGCTTGGAGAACTCTACGATCAGCTGCACGGTGAGAATGGTCATCTCGGTGACGTGTTGAAACCTCTTCTGACTGTCGTCTTCATTTTCGCCCATCGGGAAAGGCTACAATAGAAGCACGAAAAAGAATGGTAATTAGTAAATGGAAATTAAAAATTTAAAACAAGCAAATTATCTTACCGCAATCTTTTTGATATCATCCTCAGAGGGCGACTCAAACTCATCCTGGTAGTAGACTAGCTTCTTGATAACATCCTCCTGCTCAGCGGACAGCCGCCGACCCGCCTCAATGTTCATTGCCTCTATTGCCGTCACGCCCACCAGACAGGCAGTGCCGCCCGCCCCCACCGGACTGGCCATCGACAGGGTGGTCACCGGGGTGGACAGCGGAATGCCTCCGTTGAGGTTGCCGCCGGCGGTGGGTGTGGTGGCGCCGCCATTCGGGCCGCCATTCCAGGCGGCGGAGGCGACGTGCACCGCCGGACTGCCCACGGCGGTCATCGGCGTCAGTGGCTTCTCCTCGAGCAGCATGTTCGCCTGTGGCGTGAGCGGCGACTGAATGCCTCCAACGCCGCCATTCATGCCTCCATGGTCCTTGGTGGTGGAGTTGGGCTTGTCCTTGTCCTTGATGGCCCGCTTCGCCTCTCGCTTGATGGCGCACTGGTACTCGGGGACGACGCACTCCGGTCGCATGCCCACGCTGAGGCACTTCTTCAGGCGGCACTCCTGGCACTTGCGCCTCATGTACATGTCAATCTCACAGTTGTTGCCGTATTTGCACTGGTAGACGGCGTTCTTCGTGATGCTGCGCCGGAAGAAGCCCTGGGTGAGTGGAAAATATAATGTGTTAGTAATCAGTAAGTGGATGATTGGGCCTTTTTCCCACGACTTACTTTGCACCCTTCGCATGTGAGGGCGTTGTAGTGGTACCCAGAGGCACGGTCTCCGCAAACGAGACACAGCTCCTCCTGCTGTCTGGGGGCGGGACCCTTCTTCTTTTTCGGATCACCGCCTAGACTGTCCACTGCGTAGCCGTTGACGCTGTTCGAGGGGCTCATGTCTTCCTTGCCTGTTTGAGAAAGGAGAAAAAGAAGAAAAAAGATGATCAATAAAAGGTAATGTCAACAAGTGCGATAACAAAGTGTCAGTAGTGTCAGTCTCAGTTCTGACCGAATGTAACCGTCATTTTTTTCTAGTTCGGAGTTAGTTGTGTCAAACTGATTAAAAAGAGGAAAAAAGAGTAGTGCACTGCTATCTGACACAGTCTATGGACACCTGCAGCAGCACTGCCTGGTATGGCATCATCACCAGCAGCAGCAGTCCTCGACCCTGGATGTTTATTAAGCTAATTAGCGACATCAACGACCACTCAAACGACCACAAACAAATGCACACACATCACACACATTGTTCTCACCCCCGCGCTGTCGTACACATATTGCTCAAGTCAAGCAGACAAACAAAAAGTGCCGCCGTTGCAGCTGGGCAGCGACAATTAGGCAATGACTGGCTGGTTGGTGGTAGTAGTGCCTGCGACGGAACATGTGCTCTCTGATGTTCATTTTTAGTACAACAAACGACGACGACGATCACCAGACGACAATGAGTTGGGACGTGATCGTCGTCGTCGAAACCTTAATGCAAACAACCGCATTCACATTTACTCCTACTGTTTGATGGAATAGTGTCAATAAACAGAAAAGAGGGAGAGAAATTCTCAACAATTGTGACAGTGCCAATTGAAGACCCCAAATTGGGTAGTACAGAGAAGAATGACAGAGTACTATGGCCATAAATTAAAGTCACACTGTCACCACTGAAGTCAACTGAGGGGCTAGACAGACAGACAGTCGAGTAGATAAGTGGACAAAAGTAAAAGTGAACAGCAGACAAGTGAAGGAGAGCAAATGTCAAGTGTTGTCGGTGTAGCAAGTAGACACCATTAGTAGTAGTAGTAGTAGTTGATCTAGTGGATGCAGTCGGGTAGGGGCAAAAGTCACCGCAAGTCACGTGATGATCGTTGCCTTATCTTCTGCTTGCTTGCCTCCTGCTAGCGCATTACTTCGCGCGCTAATCTTCACTTACTCACTATCTCAGCATTTGGATGCATTTTACTGCACTACATCTACAGCACTACTTTTGGCAGCAAGTGGGTCCTCAGCAGCAGCAGCAGCAGCAGCAGCAGCAGAGGAAAGCTACTGATCGCTTAACAGTGTCACAACTTTGCCATAGTGATCATAGGAATCTATCATGCTCAGAAAACAAACTGCCAAGCGAGTGTTCAAGTGACAAATGAAGGAAACAACTCAGTGCCAAGACTCGATGACAAAGTTGCATCAGGATAATTTAGTTTCACGATGAAAGGTGTTTTTGAAGTGAGATGGAGTGAGAAAGACGGAAAAGATGTCACTGCTAATTGTCATGAAAGAAGAAGTGGGAGAGAGAGATCAATGGCACCTGATTGGCAATGAGTCAGTCAGAGAATAATCTTCTCAGATGATAATGAGGAACAAGAAGAAGAATGCAATGGAAGGACAATCACCGCAGAGCACGTGTACGCAAACACAGGCAATGTGCCAGGTAAAGCAAATAGTCGCACAGAGAGTGTGTTAGTCAGAAAGAAAGAAACAAACGCCGCCTAATCTAAGAAAGTGAGAGACGATACCCAACCAGCTGCTGCAATAGACAAGTGTTTGTCACAATTTGCCGACTGCTGACTGCTGACAATGCCCACTCACACCACTGCCATCATTGTAATTGTCTACGGGGACAATGTATACGTCAACCAAAAAAAAAGAGAACCATCTCTCACTCTAATTTCTACTGCCAGAACCACCGGAAGGAGGATCATTCAACTGTCTTTGTGTTAGTCTTTTCTAGTCAAACATCAAGAGAATCACAGCTAGCAAGTTGAGACACAACAGCAGAGATAGGAACCCCCACGCAAGAAGCAAACAAGGAGACCACAAGAGACGGATGGTAGCCAGCACTGTCATTGCAAGCACGTGGTGGGCGAGTGCACTGAGAGGAAGGAAGAAAGGAATAAAGAGATCAAAGAGAGGGGAAATGAATAATGTGCCCCAAGAAGTGTCGTAAGCCAGCGGGCACATGCATTGCACCTGACAATAGCGTAGGAGAATCGTCAACCTCATCCTCCTCAGCCATCTATCCATAGTCAGTCAGTGAGAGCGACTGTGCAATGTACGACAGGCAATCATACTGCTGTAACTGTTGGCCGTCCAGGCAGCAGAAGAAACAGTGTACATACACACAGGCACACAGGCAGAGTCAGTCGGCGATGTCATTAACTTCCATGTACACTGTTTTCTCTCTACAGCTGTACAGGACACTCGAGTAGTGTAGCAGTAAAACCATTTGCCTGTTGTGTTGCTGCCAGTCTTCTCGAGAATTGGTAATTACACTGCGCACTACAAAAGTGGGAATTGGAATGCAGCAGGCATCTCAGTGTGGAGACACAATGCCACTAGACTACTGCCATCATCAGATACTATTATTATGATAATCGGCTGATAGAGAAAAGATTGATGATGCTGATTAAAGGGGATAAGTGGGGAGGAAGAGAACAGTGTGCACACTGATCTCTCTTTTTCAGACGGGAATCTCCCTCAGCAGTTGAAGTTTTTCCAAACTCACACAGGTTTGTGCTAGTTTTGTTCAGTGTCTAATTGTTGTCGCCAGGCAGACAAAGACGGCATCAGCTGCAACAACTGTCAAGCATCAGGACACTCATCTACTGACCAAGGGGATTCTACCTTGGCAAAAGTGTTGACAGTGTTAACGCTGTTTACGGTTTTTAATTGAGATTCTTTCTGCATTCTTCTATTTATAGCTCCTTTATTAATGTTGATGTACGAATAATTACCATAGCACACGTTAACAGTTTTTAAGTAATGCCCCTTTGGTGTCTAAAAAGCTGATCACCAGCCAGCACTAAAGCCACCGCCAAAAACCAAGAGGTGCACTTCAAGCCCCAATTGTAATGCAAACTGTAACTCGTCAGAGTTTTTTTTGCAGTTAAACTAAAAAATTAAAACGCTACCGTGCAAAGGTTTCACCTCAGCAGTACTTTTGGTGCTCTCCTTGCTGCATTGAAGATAGTGAGAGCGAGAGAGAAAGGCGTCCAAAGAAAGAGAAAAGAGAGACACTGGATAAACACACAGCGAACAAACGAATGAAAAGAACGACCGAAACACGCACATTTCACTGCTCCGTGTGAGCTGCAAAAGTTGAAGGTTATATTTAGCAAGTGACAAGTCAATGGGAAAAAATAGAAGCAGGCAAAGTTCAGTGGTGCTGGCAGTAATACTGAATAAATGTAAAGAAGAAGAAGAAGAGACAGTGAGAGTCTGCGGTAAATGCCGAAAGAGAAATTTTCTTTTTCTGAGCCGCCCAACAGCCGACGCCTTTGCCGTCGCTGCAAGACAACCAAGTGAGTAGGCGTAGGAGGAGGCTTAGGACGCCGTCAAAAGAAGCAACTGAAGCAGTAGCAGCAGCTCATTTCAGGCTCCAAAGTCATGAACATCGACCGACGAACATTTGACGGGGGGAGAAAACACTAAAATACAAAAAGGCAAGAGAAAGCACCAACCATTTTTTATCCTTATTGCAAAAGCCAAATGCTCACAATGAAAAGTGCAAAGTCATGCATTTTTGTGCGCTATGTGCGTCAGCAGCAGCAGTTGGTAGCGGCACCAGAAACAAAAGAAACCAAAACATTAACTGCAGTAACAGTAGCCGTTTCTACTCGCTGACCTTGGCCCTAGGCACACTTTGGGCTTGACACATGTCTGTCAACCTGTTGCACTACTGTCTACTTAACAGGGGACAGACCGTGGACGCAGACTTAGTGTGCCACAACAAGGAAACAGGTTAATTGTGTGGTCTGTGTGTCAGTGCAGCCTTTTGTCAAACGGACTGAAACCGTCGTAAGGTCAATCGCGTGGTCGGTTTAAATTGCACCGTTTACTGCTTGACCACTAATTGGAAACAGTTGTGCCCTTAAAATGAGAGCAGTGATTTGTCAAATAGCGGTCAGGTAGAGAGTAGGGCTTAGCTCATCCGAAGATAAGCAACGGCAGATAAAGTTTGCAGGAAAAACAGACAATCAAAAAGAGAACAAGCACTACTGCTGTGATTGGACTGTCAAAATGGGACAATTGCTAAATTGTAGATCGGCAGTGTCGATTAAGACAGAGAGAATGGGAAAGACAGTAGCCGAAATGGTAGTAAAGATTTCTCTTCTCTCTGTTTTCTTCCTTTCAGCCTAAAGAAGAACATGGCTTCTTCAGCATGCCTTTTCCCACAGTCTTTGACCGTGATTTATGCTGCAGGTGAATGCGAACAGAAAGTCGTAAAAGGGAGAACGATGTCCACGATGAAGAAGAGAACACCGCCTGCTGGTTGCCTAGCCACACAAAGGCGCTCGGGGTAGAGAGAAGAAGAAAAAGAAGAAATCCCGTTAGACGAGCAGTCGGGCAAAAGGGTGATGATGGTAGTGCTCCTCGGCAGTTCTCCCCCCCCCCTTTACTGCCCATTATCTGCACTGACCTAGAAACGGAAATAAAACCTGCCAGCAAGAAGGAGAAGAGAGAGAGAGCTAGTCTAGTTGTCCTGGCTGCCGTCAGTCGTGTGACAGCGGCGGCGTCTTCAGCGGAGAAAGGCAGAGAGGCACAGCAGAGATACACTTTCCTCGAAAGTGTCACGAGGCAGGGGAGAAATGCTGTTTCGTTTTCTGCGACTGTTTTGATCGCTTGAGAGAGAAAAGCAGGTAACCGGTGTGCAATCTGGTAAGCAGAGAAAGCAATTTTTAGGCTGTGAAAGCCACCACTACTACCACACCACCATCAGGCACCACCGTACATTGCACTTTTCTAACTATCTTTCAGCCTCTTCCAGCAACTGCAATTAGGTGCATGCAGATGAGCAGTGGTAGTCGAGAGAAGACACCTGTTCAAAGTAGCATCAAAGCGTCAAACTCAGCAGAAACAGACAGTCTGACAGGTGTGCACATACAGACTGACTAGAGAAAGGGCAATTTGGAGGCAAGTG